TTTTTTTTTTTTTTTTACTCCAGACAGGAGCCTGTGTTTATTTCTAGTGATATGTCTTCAGGTATTTTGTATTACATCATTTTTTGCACGTGTTTTTCCAGATTTGTTGTTTTTGCTGTTGATGTTTTTCAGCAATTTGGCTGATACATCGAGGTGTGATTTCCTTTGTTTTTATCATCTTTAGCATTTACAGAGCTTCTTCCCCACCCCCCTTCCATACTTTATTATAAGGGGAGCATTCAGGGACAGAAAGAATGGGGCTGTCCCCTCAGATGATATTATTGTGAAATTTTTTAATATTGTGAAGGCTGCCCCTAGAACCTCTGGGAGCTATACTTGCTGGGTGGCAAGCAGTTACTTGAGGCAAATGAGAAGGAAGTGGATCAACCAGTTTAGACTTTAAACACACCTGGAAGTGATACATATGGCCAGGCAAGAGGGTGAAGTTGCTGCTGATATCCTTTTCCCTTTCCATTTTAACTTCGTTGGTGTGCAGATGTTTTCTGAGGGGGCAGTATGATGAGGTGATTGTGAGAATATAAATTTGTACCCTAGCGAGAGCTCAAGACCAGTTTTTAAGGAGTCAAAGGGGAGCAATGCATTTACTGCCTACTTTATACACTTGCCATCAATCCCATTTCCAGAAGAAGTCAATGATTCTACTCCCAGATATTCCAGGGAGGAGCTGTCTTCTGGGATTGGTTGAGGGTTGTGTCTCAACTGGCATTTTTAAATGAGCTAGATTAGGCCAGAATCTACTCTATGGAGCTCTCTTGCCTTCAAAGGGATCTGAAGTCAATATTTGGGCCCTATTAACACTCATTCATACAGAGCTTCTTGAAACTGTAATTTTAAAAAAACAAAATTGGGGAAAATTTCCCCCTCATTTTAATAAAATATCTTTTCTGCCAATTTGCTTTCACCTCTTTTGAAACTCCAATTACATATATGCTAGACTTTTTGATATTGATCCGTAGGTTCCTAATACTGTGTTCATTTTTATTTTAAGTCTAATTTTTTTCTCTCTTTAGTCTCTGTGGCATCCACTTCTGAAATAGCTTGCCTCCGGAAACGCTATGAACTTGAAGAAACGATGAAAGTTATACAAGTGTTCAGGTCTTTCGTTCATAGGTTCTCTAAGAGTTGTCTACGACTTGATGGCACTTAACAACAACAACAACAGTGTCTTGATTGATTAGAACACATATTGATCTACACTTTTAATTATACTGACTCTTATGATCTCTGATTTGCTGTGATTAAAAAAATCAGATAATATGTTTTTAAATTTTTGTACCTTCTATTTTGGGGTTTCAAAAACTTTTCTATTTTCTAAAATCTTATTCAGTCTTTTTTTAATCGATTTTCATTTTATATTCTTGAGGATAGTTAAAGAAAAACATACTTGCTCCTTTTTTTAAAAAAAAAAAAACAAACCAACAAAGAGTATAGAACACTTCATGAATTTACATGTCATCCTTGCACAGGGGCCATGCTAATCTCTCTGTATCATTCCAATTTCAGTATATGTGCTACCGAAGCAAGCACCATATTTGCTTCTCCCCGCTCCCCCTTGTTGTGTACTGTCTAATTGGATCCGACTGGCAGAGGAGAAGATTACCTCTCCTTCTCCAGCGGGGCATCTGGTGGGTTCGAACTTTGCATATTTGGGATTGTAGCGCAGCTTCATGCCACTAGGCCACCAGAGCTTCCTTCCATATTTGCTTTTGTGTTGAAGTGAGAGTGGCAGGGTGGTAGAAATTCCCAGATCTTCACTTTAATTTTTTTGTTGTTTGTTTTTAGCATATGGATTCACGTTATTTGTATTGCTTGATCTTTTTTTAGTGAGAAGGTCAGTTACAAATCTAATTGTGTAATTTTTTTAGAACCGAGAGCTTCAACTTTAACATGACATTCATTGACTGTCTGTTTTTCCAACAGAGAGGAAAAAAGTGTTTCGAAATGTCCTGTCATGCTTGAACATGGATAGGAACAGAAAGCTTCTGCCAGACTCTGTTGAACAATTCTCCGCAGACCGTGGCACAATGTGGGTACCTGAGACTCCTGGAGACTTGGTATGGGATTTTCTGGTGAAAGTCCGAGCACAGGATGTGACGGCCAGAGATGCAATTGTCAGGCGCAGAGTTCTGAGCGAGGACAGCAAAGGGGAACTGCTGACTGAAATGGAGAATTTGCAGCTTAGAGACATCCAGACCATTAATCACCTTGATGTCCTTTGCGCCACCATGCTGTGTTCAGACAGTTCTTTGCGATGTGAAGTCATGTCCAACATGTATCAATGCCAGTTTGCTCTTCCCCTGCTCCTGCCAGATGCAGAGAACAACAGAAGCATCTTAATGCTGGGGTCTATGAAGAACGTAGTGAAGAAACAGTCAGGCCCGCCCTCAGAAGGCCCTGCCAAGGCTGCAGAAACCTTGCTGACTCACATCAAGATGCCTGTCATCTCCTTTGTTCGTTTTCAATCTTGTGGCTTCTCCAAGTCCAGAATCCTCAACACTCTGCTCCGCCCCTCCCTGGTGGAATCCTGCCCCATCTTTCTTCATCAGGCTTCATCTCCTTTGATGCTCCCTCGGCAGATCTCTGATGGACTGGTTGAGATCACGTGGTGTTTTCCCGACGGTGACAGTCTTACAGAAAATGACCTTTTTGTCCAAAAGCCTGTTGCTGTGACCAACCTCCGCGGAGACCTGGAACGTTTTTGGACACAGTTTGGGTTTTTAATGGAAGTTTCTTCAGCTGTGTTTTTTTTCGCTGACAACCTGGGTGAGCAGGAATGGACCCTTTTAAGGTTTTTAGGAGAAGCTGCTCTTGAAAGATGCTACTTTGTCCTCAGTTCGAAGGCAAGAGAGAGTGAAGAGGCTCATGTTTTTCAGAGAATCCTGCAATTGAAGCCATCACAGATCGTGTTTTTAGAGGGAGAAGAGGCTGGGGATAGAGAGAAGGGCATAGCGTGTCTTCAAGCTGTTCTCCAGGAAGTACTGTGCTCTTCATTTAGCTCTGTGTCCCTGGAGGACATGGCATACCTGGCTAGGGAGTTGGGGATCCAAGTAGATCAAGACTGTGAGGAGAGTCAAGGAATTCAAGTTTCTGCTGGTGAAAATGTGGCCAGATTGGCTGAAAGCGAGGATCAACAAAGACAGAATCAACAAAACCCCCCAGAGAAGATGTCTGCTGGAGAGCCTGGGGTAATGTGTAGCATTAGCCAGAATCCTCAAAATATCTACCCCACCCCAGTATCCATTCCTCCTTCACAGGTCTCCTCGCCTTTGCAAGCCAGAATGAGAGGTGGCTTTAACCAGGCTTTCTGGAAACCCGCCTGGCTCATGGGCCCCCACTTTTGGTCAGAACAGAGGTGTAGGTGGTTCCGTCCTTTTGCCTTTCATAATACAAGAGCCTATAGTCGAGGTAAACGTTTTGGTCCTTCATACTTCCAACCTCCAAGATTTCATTCAAGTGAAAGATTCATGAACTTTCCAAGACCTGCTCAGGGATGTGGCTGGAATGGAACAATTGGGATGCAACCGAGACTTGTTTCTCCGCAAGCACGGGCCTGGCCTGGAACCCCTAAAACAGTGGGAGCTTTTGGAAAGCCTGGGACTGTGGTATCCCGGAGTGGTCCTTTCCATTCTCTAGGCTCACAGCAAGCAGGAGGACTTGGTAGGTCACAACCTGGGCTGGTTTGTGCTCAAGGACCTACCGCAACTGGACGACTTTTGAGAACACCATCCCATACGAGAGATCCTCATTGTCAAGGCTTTCACCCAAAAGCAGCTATACAAAAGCTCATAAAACCTGCCCCTCAGCTAGGAGCCCAGACGAAGACACAGAGTGGGTCTTCAAATCCAGCTTTTCAAGCACAACATCCTATGACCAAGCTTTTATCCAGCTCTCAGTTCAAATCCAACCAGACTAAGCATTCTCAGCCGAAATTCTCTCAACCTGTGCTCTCTCAAGCCAAACCCACTCAACTAGAAGCCACTCAGCCCCAGCCCTCCCACTTTAAAGGCTCCCCATCCACGTCTACTCAGCCCAAGCCTCAATTTCATAGTCACCAATCCAAACCCACTCAGCCTCAGCCCTTCCACTCTAAAGGCCCCCAGTCCAAGCCAGCTCAGCCCAGTCCTTCTCAGTCTCATGCCCACCAGCCCAAGCCCGCTCATCCCAGTCCTTCTCAGCCTCATACCCACCAGCCCAAGCCCACTCATCCCAGTCCTTCTCAACCTCATGCACACCAGCCTAAGCATCCGCAGCCCAGTCCTTCTCAACCTCATGCCCACCAGCCCAAGACTCAATCTCATGGTCACCAGTACAAACCCACTCAGCCTAAACCTTCCCAACCTTGTACCCACCAAGCTAAATCCACTCAGCCCAAGTACTTCCAAGCTAAGTCCTCTCAGTCCAGACCATCTCAACCAAAGTCATCTCGGGCTAGTTCTTCACAGACCAGGGTATCCTATTCAAGGGCAGGTTCCAGAAGGTAGGGAAGCATTAAAGTGTTTACTCCAGGGACCTGTGAGATGCTGCCTCTGCCCAGACTAGTCCTATCATGTCTATTGATGTTGTTGATTGCCTTCGAGTTGAGCATGACTTATAGGGACCCTGTGAACAAATGGCCTGACGCCCTTCTACAACTATCGACATTTACCAAAGTTCATAGAGTTTCCGGAGGCATGTTGTTTAGGAAGTGGATGCCACTCCTGCTTCCAAATCTTGCCTATTACTGAACATAATGAGCTTCAGGGATGTTGTGTAGAAGACTTTTGCTCTTAGCAGAACATGGACAAAATGATACGCAAAGCTTGATTGAATGTGTCATTGGATATTGAGAGGCACAATATGAAGAAATGAAAAGTAGAATCAAGCGTAAGAATTTAGTAAAATTAGTTCAGCCCAGGTGTGAACATTCAATCACTGAATGTCATTGCCGTGGAGTTGGAACCGATTCGTAGTTAACCCTCCAGCAGATTAACTACATTGCACAGGAGGATATTGCCCATCTTTTCCTCCCTCAGATCAACTGGTGGATTTGAAACATCTACCTTTTGGTTGACAATGCAACTTCTTACCACTAGATCACCATTGTTGTTATTGTTGTGAACAGAACTCATAGAGATCCTGTGAACAACAGATCTGAAGCCTTTCCTATCCTCACTGTCCTTGACAAATTCAAGCCTGTTGTTCCAGTGCCTGTGTCAACCCACCTGGTTGAGGCTCTTCCTTTCTTTATTAGGTAATGCACCGATGAATCCAGAGGTGAGAACGGTGAGACAGCCTCCTTTGGAGGAGAAAGGATTTTGTGGCTGTGGTGGCCTTAGAGGGTAAAACTCGACTGCACATAAAAATGATAAACTAGAAACCAAGAAAATTAATACAGTCACATAAAAATATGTAAGAAATCTGGCGTATTTGTTTTGTTAGCTTTGTTTAATAAGCTGGCTTATTAGTTTTTGTTGCTATTGACCTTATGCACAAAAGGATGAATGTACTATCCTTTACATGATTATTGCCATCTTTGAGCCCATTGCAATAGCCATGGGGTCAGTCCATCTTGTTAAGTCTTCCTCATTTTTGCTGACCTTCTAATTTACTAAAGGTGATGTCCTTTGCTAGGGACTGGTCAGTTCTGATAATAGGTCCACAACTTGTGAGACGAAGTCTCATCATCATCATCTCTAAGGAGCACTCTGGCTATACTTCTAAGACAGAGCCCTAGTGGTGTTGTGTATTACATGCTGAGCTCCTAACCAAAAGGCTGGGTCAAAGATAGACAATCTTTTTGTGAGGAAAAAAATGGGCTACCTCCTCCTATAAAGACTTACAGCCTTGTGAACTCAATGGAGGCTGGCTATGAGTTGAAATTAACTTGACAGATAGAGATTTTGGATTTGGCATTTCCAAAACAGAGTTGATTTTTCTTCTATCAGCCCATTATATAGTCAATATTCTTCACAAACAGTATAATTGCATGTGCCAATTATTCTTGTCTAGTCCAAATTTGGTGATTGCGATTGTGAAGACCATGGCCTGTATCAGACGCACCTTAGTCTCCAGAGAGACACCACTGCTCTTCAGCACTTTGGAGAG